ACAGTCAAGGCACGAGTTTGCACACGATTTGGTTATTCAGAATTGCGGCTGAATCTTCATCATGCAAACCCGGGAAGAGCCAGTCTCCAGATGTTCTGAGTCACATCTGGGATAGCAACAGTTCCCTCGCACTGTGCAGAGCTGCTGGCCAGGCAGCATGCAAAGTGCTCTGCTAGGATTGTCTCCTCCAAGCTCAGCAGTCACCCTGTGTGGGAACAATATTATCCCCATTTCATGAATGAGAATACTGAGATTTACAGAGCCTAAGAAACGTACACGTGGTTACAAACCAAACAAGGAAACTAAGATGCTCAACATCTTCATGATGATAAAATCTGTATTATTAACAACTACAAGATTATCTATAAGTAAAAACTTATAGAACAAAAAACATACTAAAAATTTGCCAAAGAAATGGGGAAATCAATTGATGATATTGACTCATTGGTGGTGCTAAAGTACTCTCTGTTGTCTAACTGGGTAAGTCTAGTTTCTCCATCAAATGTTTTTCCTCTTCATCTCTATAAAAAGCATTTCGAAAATCTTTCAGATTTACTTTGAAATTCTAAGGAATTTTATTCTTAATAGAAGAGACATAAGGAAAGTCAAGGATGCTTAGAAAATAGCCCATATCTGAGATTTTTGGAAGCCTTGAATAAAAGATGTGAAGGGAACGGAGAGTTCTCATATGTTTGTAGAACTGAAATGTATAAGAATAAAATGATTCATATTTTAATAACATGCATGTTACAGCAAATCTCAGGAACCAAGGCCATCGCATCGTTCAAATTAAGTGATTGTTACAAAGTGTCCAAGAGATATATTTTCTAATTCTTAGCCTAGCATCAATACACATACAGATTCCTATGATTTTAAGTGAGATTTCGTTAAAATGTCTGATACTATTCGAAATACATATTTGAATATATACTTGAAGACAAAGGTAACTGACAACCTAGAACACTGCACAATGACAGCACAGAGCAATAACCTGGCAGAAGTGGAAATCAGAAGCAAGCCTTGGTGAAGAACACAGATTTGCACTGAGGAAGTAGTTATCTGTGGGATTCTGATTTATACTTCCTGTCATGAGTAGTTTGCAAAATATATACTCTATTTAATAAATGAAGCTCTTCTAGCAAATTATAAATACCTTCTAAGAGAATAAATGGTAAATGTTTTGCCAGCCAGTATTAACTGAGGAAAATAATTTTCTAAGACTTGGGGAAATGATTAATCCAAATTGAGATTACAGTTTGCAGAAGAGACTGCAAATCTATGAACTTGTGTTCTGCTTAATTTATATTTCAATGATGCTTTCGCGTATATTGTATCTCCATCTTGTCTACTGTTTTGATACAAGACTCTTTTCGTGTTCATGATGTGAGTAGGAAAAACCCACATATTGATCACACTTGAAGTTCTTAGCTTTGTACCTAAGGAAGGGTGTGCCACATACATTTCAGCCATTGATTCTATGTACTATAAGTACTATGATAATAGTCACTTTTCCCTTCACAGAGATGATACAGAGAAGAGTTAAACAGTTTGTAGCAGCATATCTTGGGTTAAAACATAGGGGTTTTTGGGCCTGGCACTGTAGTTTAGTGGTTAAAGTCCTTGCCTCGCACACGCCATCCCATATGGGTGCTGGTTCTAATCCGGGGACACTGCTTCCCATCCACCTTCCTGCTTGTGGCCTGAGAAAGCAGTTGAGGATGGCCCAAAACCATGGGACCTTGCACCCACATGGGAGACCCGAAGAAGCTTCTGGCTTTGGATTGGTGCAGCTTGGGTTGTTGCAGCCATTTGGGGAGGGAACCAATGGACAGAAGATCTTCCTCTCTGTCTCTGCTCCTCTCTATATCTGATTATTCAATAAAAATAAATCTTAAAAAAAAAGAAACTTGGGATTTTCCTGTGCATCTAAGGCTATACATGTGAGGCCTTGGATAAGTCCGTTATGCATACTGAGTCTCAAAATTTTCATGTGAAAACGGAATAGCGTAACTTTTTTAGTAAGATATAATTAGGTTTAAATAAACTGCATGTTAATACTTGTGGCTGCTTAAGCTCTCAGTAAATGGCAGCTATTGAGTCCTGTAGCTATACTTTATAAACTATGTTTTCTGCAGATGGCATTTTGGTTTTTTTTAAAACTCAACTAGTTCCTTGGTTATCAAGGAGCTTCTTACTGATAGATTTGATTATATTTTACTTTTACAACAGTTTGTATTATATTTTTTCCTTTACGGATTAGAGCTTAATAATAACCTTCTTGTAAAATAATAGTGCTAATAAATCAGATAGTGCTTTTTGCTCCTTCCCCTTCTGCTGCATTCCATTCTATTGTCTGCAACAAGTTTTCAATCCACTCATTATTTTCATCATTCATTCAACATGCAAACACTAAAAGCTTCCTATGAGACAAGACTTGCCACTGCTGTTTTAAAGGCATTAAGAATTTCTATACCAGTTTTGAGTGTGAGCACAAAAATTTAAGAGGGATTAAAAAGTTTTCTTCACATTCGTTTTTTAAAATCTAAGTATATTTAACATTTCTTATGATACAATTCTTCAAGTATAGGGGTTCTTCTCTCCCCTCTCTTCTTCCTTCTCTGTTCTCTCCTGCCAGCATTTTCCCCTCAATTATAACAGTAGTAGAGTCCCTTAGTAACAATTACAAGATTTTTTTCTTTTTCTTTGAATGTACTATGAAATTGCAGGTATAAGCAAAGGTAGAAAACCTAGCATCATACTGTACAGCTAAATCTGCATGTTTCAATGGGAGTCCTGCTTTTAGCTTCTTTTAGTCTTGTGTCTGATGTTTAGTGGACAAAAGGAGGACAGACCCTACTCACTTGTAGTTTGCAATCCATTTATTGTTTTCTTCATGTAATCATTCAATATAAATTTAATGAAGACTTCCTACATGACAGGCCTGTAATTATTACGCCTGTAATAACTGTTTAATGTATTTACTCTTTTAGTCAGAGATTTATGTCCACTTGCTAAAGTTTCCTAAAAGACAAGATCTGTCAGAAGCTTGACTCAGAAGAAATTAGTCTAAACACTTCATGGCAGATAGTTTTGTAATATTATCATATGATTGTGATTATTTCAGTGATACAGAAAATTTAACATAACATTGTAGTTAATGTAAACTTAATTAGAATTAAGAATATGTCTTGACATATGTCTGTTTTCTAGGAAATAATTATGCACAGTCTCATTTCAGAAAGGTTACTATTTAAATTAAATTATATAAATCCAAGGTATCTAGGAAGACAAACCAAAGGATTTTAAAATAGAAACAACTTTTAAAATTAGCATATTTCTGACTCAGTATGGAATAATGGTTCGGAGGAATTTCTTAAAGATTCTGTATCTAGAATAATTTAAACATAGTCCACGATTCGAGACACGCAAGGAATGGTTCTTCTCATAGTTGGCGTTTGACTAGTGGTGGGCCTACTGTGCTGCACACTGTCCATGCTTGATCTTGGTCCTTGCTCATTACTCCAGCTTCTTGCTAAGACAGCCCCTGTGAGGCAGCGGTGATGACTCAAACAACTGGATCCCTGCTTCCCACATGGGAGACTTGGATTGTTCTCTTTGTTCTCAGTTGTGACACTAGCCCAGCCCTGCCAATTGCGGATTTTGGTGAGTGACTCAGTAGATGGGCTCTCTCCCTTTCTTTGTTTCTGTAATCTTCTCTCACTATCTCTCTCTCCCTTGGCCTGCCACTCAAAAAAAAAAAAAAGCAAAAGTTGAGGGCTCAATGGTTAAATCCTCACCTTGCAAGCACCAGCTACCCATATGGCACCAGTTCATGTCCTGGCTCCTCCACTTCTCTTTCAACTCCCTGTTTATATTCTGGAAAAGTACACGAGGATGGCTCAAAGCCTTGGGACCCTGTACTCATGTGGGAGACTCAGAGGAGACTCTTGGCTCCTGGCTTTATATTGGCTCAGCTCCATCCACTGGGGAATGAACTAGCAGATGGAAGATCTTTCTCTGTTTCTCTTTTCTCTGTCTCTCCATAAATCTGTTCTGCCTTTCCAGTAAAAAAATACATAAATCTTAAAAAAACATAAGTTGAAAGCAAAGAGAGTTATCTTTGGCCTTATTCTCGCAAGCCACAGTCTATTTCTGCCAAAGGTAATCAACTGATTTTGACAATACTTGTATGTATAAAATTCTGTGATGTTTCATTTGGTTTAACAATGCTATCATTATATATATATATATATATATATATATACATATATATGTATATGTATATGTATATATGCAATACATTTTGACAATCATTGAGTGCTTTCAATGAAGTAATTGAAAACTGACGATGTAGGTAAAACATAGATACAGCAGAGATGAGTTAACTACTGCCTCTGCATCAATCCCAGTCCATAAACAATGTTTTATTGCAGCAAGGTTTGTTCAACATATCGTCTCTGATTGATTTTGTTTACAGCTGACAACGCTGATTAGTAATTGTGACAGTGATGGTTGGGACCACAGACCTAACATATTTACTATCTAGTCATTTCCTAAAAATGTTTGTGAACCCTGGCTTTATAGTGAAAATATTAAGAATTCCCGCACAAATTTCAAGTAGCAACAAAAAATAAGAGGAATGAAATCGTTTTTTGTCTATTTAAATTGTATTATCCTTCCCTGATAATTAGTGGAAAGAAGAGAAGTAAGTTAATCACTACTCATTTGTACACAAATTCTGTACAAGCAGTCCTTGTTGGACCAATGTACCTTGTTACTCTCCACTGAGATAAGAAAAATTCCAAGTGGTAAGCTGCCAAGCCAGTGTCCACCAGATCTGTACAATTTTCCCCTCTTTTAGAAGACAGGAATTGCAATTTGAGACTCAACTCTTTGTTGCTGGAAATACCGTGAGTCTCTACATATCTGTAAATATTACAGCTTATGTAATTTAAAACGAGCATTGTTATAACTGTGATGGTTTTAATGGTCCACATTACCTGCATGTTGTTCTTCAATCCAGACTTGCAGATACATGAAGAGGAGTAGTCCTGCCACTCCAAATATCAGCAGAGACAGGAAGACTTGTCTGGGGTGCATGACTGCTTCAGATAGCTGCATTGCTCCTCATTGCAGAATCTGAAGACCACACAATTGATTTCTCCATACAGCATCCAATTCTTTCTTGCTCTCTCATTCCATAAATTAACCTGGAATTAAAAAAAAAAAGTTCGCATTGTATTTGTTTTTATTCCCAAACATGATATAAGTTGCAGGAAATGCAACACTGAAGAGTTAATTCACTGTAATGCTTTGAAGACAGGAAAGACTGCAGTAGAGGTCCCAGAGCGGCACTTTCCTCCTGCATAATTCTATTCCATCTGAGAATGTATTAACCTACAGTTAATAAGTAATACCTTTGTATGTGATTTTTGTGAATTTGAACCAAATAGAAGCCATCCTGTATGGTAAACAGCAATGCAAGAGTTGGACTGCATTAAAATGATTCCAAGAGAGGGGAACACTAACAGGATGGATTGGTAAAGAATGCGTTTTGAAAAACAGGCTTACAAAATGCAAACAGCCATCCCTGTGTGTCCCTGAGGACCTGCTGCCAGGACTCTCCCTTCCCCAGGATGCCAGACTCTTCATCCTCAAGTCCCCTGTGTAAAACAGCATCGCATCTCTATCTAACCTGTGCAATCCTCTGAAATACTTTCAATCATTTCTAGGTGACTTACAATACATAATATAATGTTGGTGCAATGGAAATAATTGTTATAATATTTTACATTCCTTCTATCCCCTCCACAATATTTCCTACTCAAAGTTGCTTGAGTTTACAGAAGTGGAATCCTTGACAAGGAAGGCTAACTGTGTATGAACTACAAAACTTGTATGGTTTAATCTATCATTCCCCCTCTCAGAAGTAACAGATTTCTCCCACATAAAGAATGCAGTATTCATCTCTACTTCCAGATTAAAGATGGACTCCCAATGTAACCGTTAACCATATCTTGACAATAGGATGCTGGACTCTGCCATTGCCCATGCCCACAATGATGGACATATGACTGTTTATGAAGAACTATACTACTGTAATAATATAGGAGAACTCAGTTGGGGGGAACTTATGGAGCGAGTAAGGGAAATCTTAGGGCCTATGGAACTGTATCATAAAATGAAATAATAATAAAAGAAGTTTAAAAAAAGATGGAATGAAACTTCAGAAAAAACAAGTATGAATTCGGGAAAAAAAGAAAGTGTGTTCTTGAAAAAGGAATACATTTAAAACTCATCAAAGTCATGAAAGGATGAATATTAAAAAGTCAAAGTTCAACAACTCTTCCCACACTAACATGGTATTTGTGAAATCTACTTCAGACTACAGAAATCTATCCCAGGAAAGGGCTTTTCATTTAAAAAATATTAAAATCACTTTATTTTAGAACGATCTCCTTTAGTGTAATTTTTTTCTGTCATAATTGCTGCTGAGCATCAGGAAAATTTAATCCCTTGTCTTAGAAAAATATGAACTTAAAATCTCGTAAAATGCCAAATATTTTGTACATTTGCGTCAACCCAAACGAAGAAGCAATTCTCCCCCTGACCTGCAGTAGCCTATGTGGTGATTTACAGCTCTTCTAATGCGGCCAAGACAGCAGACTGGACGACACCCTGGCCAGTCCCTGGCTCTGTTCTTTGGCCGCTTCTGGGTGGGCTGAATAAGTGGTTCTTTTGTGTGAAAACATCATGTATGCTACTGTGTTTAAAAATTGTCTTATTTCTTCTAAATATACCTCAAAATCTTTGAGAAGAGCCTCGGAGAAAGAATATTGATTTAGGTGGTTGGTGGGGTGCCAGTTAAAAGTTAAACATTGCCACAGGAAATTGCTAGGCTGGTTAAAGTATCATGTTTAGTTATTCCTGACAAATCCATTTTCACAACAATGTGCTTCAAAAATAGTGGAAGAGGCCAGAACTAGAAGTGAATGTATTGAAGCAATCAGAGTCATCTCCAGATTAGAATAAGACCTAACAGTTAAAAATCTAGTAGGAAAAATGCCACATTGTATGTATTTATTTTTATCATATTTCCAATATCACAAAATTTTAGAAGAACAGAAAAAAATATGTAGAAGAGCTGAAAGTATCAACGTACTGTTTATTTTATGGGTAATGCTCTTACACGGAGTCAAGAGTAAAGTATTATGGTCTTTCTGGACAGATACAACAAAGGAATGCTCCGCAGGGAGAATTGCGATCTGTGATACTCCAGGATTGAACTCCCAAGGGGAACTATGACAAGAAGCAAACTTTCTCTTTTCTGGATGCTACTGTTAAACAACAGACAGGCACAATTTCTGGTTTTGTCATAAGACTCAGAAGAAATCCAGTTAAACAAAATTTACTACTATCAGGGAAACAGTTGTCAAGAAGAAGGGTTTCACATTCCGTTTACATAAGTAACAGCTCTCTCAAACAAGGCCAGAAGAAACCTCAAAAATCAGATCAGATCCACGGGCCTATCAGAATGGCAGGTATGAGAAACAAAGGAACAAATCCTCAAGGATTTGCTGAAGGAAATTATTGCCCATGATGCCGGAAACTAGATGAGAAGTTGCCCTTCTTTTGTCTGGGAGATAACTGTACTCTGACATAGCATCCTGAGAAGGCAGAGAAAAGCCACAATTGTTCTTGTGGCAGATGTGAGCAGGACTGAATGATTGAAGCCACAAGACAGAAGGGCAATTTGGTGTAAAACAGAGAGGTATGCTTCATTTTTCTCCCATCAGAGCCCATTAAGCCAAAGTTGCATTGGGAAATGGCTCCCATTAAACCAAGGTGAGGCAGCAGAACTAGTAGTGTTGCTTTAAGCAAACCAGACGGTCAATCATGATGGGAAAACACAACTGTTTGGAGAGCAAATATCCACTTCCAGGCCTGGTGAAAGAGTCCAGAATCTGTTTCCCGTACAAGCATTAGATAACAAATCTATAGCCAAAGCCTACTTGTATTTCAAACAGTTTCTTTTTCTCCCCAGTATAACCACAAGTCCTAATACCTAAATACCTAGTAGGTATTTAACAACTTGGTACATCAAACTCAATTTGGAGCTCCAATAATAATGTACGATTATCAGATGAATGGATTTTCAGTTGTATTTGTAAATCTGGAGTCCTAATCTCCAAGTAGAAAAATAGGTCATTAAAATGCTGAAATAAGGAGTAGTCTTTCTTAAGACACACGCTTATTTTTATTTGTGTATCCTTGTGATTTATCTCAAGTGCTGTGAGAAGCAGATGTCGTGGTGCAGTGGATTAAGGAACCTCTTATGACTTCCACATCCCATGTCAGGGTGCCTGTTGGAGTTCTAAGTACTCCACTTCCAAGCCGGCTCTCTATTATGAATACATTGGGGGAAGAAGCCGGAATTGGGGCTTCAACCCAGGTACTCCCATATGGATCGAGGGAGTCTCATGCTCATCAACTGTTACACCAACTGTTATTTTGAAATAATGTTAGATTTACAAAGAAATAAGTAAACATTTTTGACATTCTTTCCGTGGTAATCTCTTACATTAGCAAAAAGCTCAATTGTCAGTACCAAGAATTTAGCAATGGTAGGTGTGGCAGGGAAAAGAATCCATCCTCCCTCCCCGCAAAGAGATATTCAACTGCGAATCATGGAAGCCTGAGAAAATGATGCCTCACATGAGTATGGGAAATTAAGATGTCAGCTGTAATGTGCAGCACTAATCAGCTGATTTAACATATAGAGATTATTCTGGATTATGGGTGCAGGGGAAGGGATGTATACTGCCAGGGCCTTCCTGAAAGAACAGAGCAGCTGAGGAGGCTGGAGGAGAGCAGTCTAAAAGCATTCCTTTCACCATTGTGAGATTTCGTGCTTCAGCTAAGGGATGCAGGTGGCTCCCAGAGGCTAGACTAGGCAGGGAAACAGACCCTACTCAGAGCCATGAACAGGGATACGTCCCTGATGACATTTTGATTTTAGCCAATGTCACATTTTTCTCTACCAAACTTAAAGATACTATGCTCAGGCTGTTCTAAGCCACTGATGATATGATAATTTGCTATAGCATCAAAGGAAACCAACACAGTATAATATTAAAATACATAGTTTTGAAGGAAGATAGTGGTGAAATTGCTATGAATGGCTGGAATAATGCAAATTTGTTTTTCAAATGGTTTCTCAGCTTTAGTGTTTCATAGTCTGTTCTTATAATAGCCCCACTGTTCAATGTGCTTTGTCATGTACAGCACAGGAACATAGCCCTTTAGTAGACACTAATTTGTAGGTGCTTCCTTACACATCTTTCCACTTCAGTTTCCTGTGTAATTTATTTAACAGGTACCTTCTTCTGTGAACTGTAGTAGTTAAGATTTAATTATAACTAAAATCCGTAGGCAGAGATCTGCTTTATATTCTTTATTTGAAAAAGTTTTACACTCATTTTATATTCAAGTATTCAACACACAGTTGTTCCTCCTGAACAATAGTGCATTTTGAAAGGCCTCGTACAAGATAAAGCAAAGAGTCATTTGTTTTTACTGCATGGGAAGAATCACCACTAGAGTGTTCATCGTGTCCCGAAATGTTACTCTCCCTATTTTAGAGATTTCAAAGTTACAAATATTTAATATGTGAAACAAAATTTGTGGGTATTTTACATTTGTTTATGTGCAATCACAAGATGTGTAGCAAGTGTTTATATGCTGGCTGCCAGTCATCAGGGTGACATTGGGAAAGTGTGAAGTACATAAGGAGCCAAGATGTTAGGAGGAGTCTTTATTGCCCAGGCTTGGCGACAGCAACTCCCACTACACTCCAGGAGCCACTACGCCTAGCTGCCAAAGTCAGGGGTTTTTAAGTGCTCATCCTCCAATCCAACTGGGAGCCATACAGCAGAAAGTTTCCATTCAATTAATTAAGTGGCTGAAGGCAGGAAGGAAGCTACCAGAGCCCAAAGTTTTCCTGTAGTTAATTAACCTAATCTGGTACAATAGGAGGCAGAAGCAGGCAGGTGCGTGGAGTCTCTGGAGTCATTTCCCAGATGTCACCTGACCTGAATGGTGCAGAATGCAGGAGGGCGGGG